CACACACACACACACACACACACCTTGAGCAATTCAACCAGTCGACAGAGCGCTTTGACCGATGTCTTGGTCATGGGCCGCTGCATTGACATGTACATGTTCATGGTGGTCTTGATAATAGTGCTGATGCTGTACGCATACAGGATTCCCTGTGAGGAACGGAAAACAAAGAGGGGATTGTCAGTCTTTTTTATGAAATTACAGTTTGTCAGTTAACAAATACAGAAATTGACATAAAACATGTATTTTTCTGTTCAGCGACTAAAAACTATCTTTACCTGCACAAACACATTACACCTGCTGTTAAGGTCGTCTGCCAACTTGTCACTTTTATGGTCTTTAGACAAGATGGACTCCATCTTCATCATCCACGAGGTTACAAACACGTAGTAGGACTGAACATCCCTGAAGGAAACATAAGAAACTTTTTTAAATCTAACTAGAGTTACCAACTACGGTTGTATGCCTCCGCCAGCCAGTGCAGTTTCTCTTCACATATTTCTACATACTTTTTTCCAAGATTCGTAAAAGGTCACTGTGACCACTGAAACATTCTCACGTTATCTTTGAGTACAACTGATCAAAAGTTGAAGAAATCCCCTCGAGCCGAGTGGATTGTGCCAAATGTAATGAAATTCCCTATGAAAAGTCCTACTGTCACATTCACAGGGGACGTGAGGTCACTGCCACTTCGACCACTGAGCGCCAGGTAGCAAAATCTAATCAATTAACCCGTACAGACAGATGGACGGACAACCCGAAAACATAATGCATCCCGCCACTGGCTCTCGTTGGCGTGGAGACATAAAAATCTGGTTTCAACAGAACTAGTGTGAAGTTTGGACACTACTGACTTTGTTAGTGTCAGAGCTCTGTGCTGCAGGTAGGTGTCTCTCTGCACTCTGATGCCCTGTAGACTCTTCTTATCCATCAGTTTAGCTGCAGCTGGGACCTTAGCAGTGAGGAACATGTCAGGAAACCAGATGATGTTTGCAGTCAAAGTGACAGCGGGAACCTGCAGGAAGTGGCAGACACAAACACACATGAAAACTTAGCTGCCCTCAGAATGCAACTCCACCCAGGCCCAACAGCCCCACCGTGAAACCACATTTAAATTCACTAGATCCAGTTTGAAATCTGAATCAGGAACGGGTGTCACAACTAAAGATAGAAGGTGAAGCACAAATCTACCTTTTTACAGACATCGAGCAGAGCCTTGTAGAGCTTTTTGTCGACACTCCTGAAGATGTGAAAGTGAAGCACAAAGAGACCACAGACACCAGCATATTTATCTCTCTGGTCGATTTCTGAAGGTTCACCTGAAAAACCACATGAACAAAAAGAAGATATTTCAAAGTTGCAAGAAAATGATACAACCTGTCAAATTAAGTTTTCCTGCGAGAGGAAACTGACCAATCTTTGACTCAACGTTGGTGAATATGGTGCGAATGTTGAAGGCAAACTCCTCAGCAAAGACGCTGTTTTTGGCAACAGCTACTCCTTCCCCATGATCATCGAATCTCTGTTCCACGCAGGCCTGTCAGTCATAAACATGAGAACTTGAAAACCAGCTCATTTTATTGAATGTCTGGAGCAAAGTGAGAGGTAATTTGATTAAATTCCTTACTGTTCAAAGACTTAATGAAAGCTGAATTGAGAAATTACTGGTGTGAGTTACTTTACTTTAACCAGCAACTACATTTACCAAACTACACTTGGACTACAGACTACAGTGTCTGCTGACTTTTAAGTTACCTGCAGTATCATGCCATCCAGCAGCTGACCCTCCAGCTTCAGCAGGAGCTTCTCGAACGGTTTCAGTTTCTCTTCGGGGATGGAAAATTTCCCAGGGTTATGGTGCACTGATTTCAATAACCTGTGATAGAATGATGCAGTTATAGACGACTAGAAGCAATGAACGATTATACAAATGCATTTAATTTAAGGGTAAAAGGTGAATACATGTGTAAAAACAGGACTTTATTTTATCTAACTGGCTGCAAACTGGTGTGTGAGTAGGAGGGAGAGGAGGGTGTGTGAGTGTGTGTGTGTGTGTGTGTTCACCTTTTATACATCTTCCAGTGATCTTTAAGTGTGCCATGATTCTCCAAAATCTCATCAAGTGTGAGCAGTACCACCAACAACTCTCCGAGGTGTTCGTACACAATCTGCAGCAGGAAAACACAAAACAGACTCAGTGAGAAAAATTGAGTGACTCAGACTCAAGACAAAGACACACACACAAAAAAATCATTACATCAAAAACCAACCTGGAAATGGACGCCCGACGACTCAATGATCTTCGTTGCACCCCTAAGATACGGAGAGAGAAATGTTGTAACGGAGCAAAAACCTTCAGTGAATATTGAAACCAGAAGTTCAGTCTGTGTGGAAAGACTCTTCACAACGAGGGTATTTCAACCAATCCAACACAAACAGTACATCCACTGTGTAACATTGACTGGCTTCTGTTCATGTGTCTCACTTGTTGCTGTTGTAGAGGGCAGCCAGCTGATGAACAATGTTGACCACCACTTCATAACATCTGGACACAAAGCACGACAGTTCCTGCGCCAAGAGCAAACAGAGAATCTCTCAGCGTTTTCTTCAGCAAATGAGCTTATAAATAAACAATTTGACTAATTACTCACTTGTAGGAATGAGATGAATCTACCCATCTGAATCTGTGACTCTCCTTCAACCACACCAGTGTCAGACACTGTAACAGAAAAGTACTTAAACAACATATCTGCATCAATTCTTTAAAAAGCAGAATGTTTGAAGTAAGAAAAACTCAGCTAATAAGGAAGCAATGCTTGCTGACTGATTACCTCCTTCTCCATAATACAACAAGCCATTGTAGAACTTGGTTTCTGCCTGTAGGTAAACAAAGATGTCAAGCAGGACACAACATCTGAATTTGTATATCATAGCACAACGATGATAGAGTGAAGAGTGCACTGTTTTTACAGTACTTACCTCATACTTGAGCTTCTTCACTTCACTACAGAGTGCAGCATAAACTGTGATGACTTTATTTAGAACCTGAACACAACACAAAACAAGACAGATGATTGAAAAGAAAAACAACTTCATAGACATGAGACTTCAACTGATCCAGACTCTTGGTCTTTACTTACCTTGTTGTCTGTTTTAATTAACTCCAGTAAAGACGACTGCTCATACGGGAGAAGCTGAAAGAGAGTACAACAACGTATTAGGAAGGAAATTGTGCAAGTTTTAAACTGTGAGAACTCAACTGTGTAAACGCTCAGGATGATGTTCAGCCAACAGTGTTTTACCTTCAGGGCGATGGGGTCCAGAGTGAAGTCCCACACGTCTCCGATGGAGTCATCCAGCGCCTCCTCGATGCCTCTCAGCTGAGAGGTGTACTCCTCCAGAAACTTACTGTAGTTCTTCAGCTGGACCTCTGTGTGTATTTCTGTATGATGCAGAGTTAGATGAAGGACATTGTCAGGGGGAATGTACTCAATCCAACAGTCCTCTAAACATGGTGCATTTTATTTAATCAAGACCCATGAATTATTCTCTGAGAAATCAATGAAAATGTTTAAAAACGCCCTCAAGAAAATGAAAAAACTCAAGATCATCATCAAAACGGGTTCTATCCTGACAAATACTGCATCCTGCAACATAAGCGATGGACCATATGGCCAAAAATAACATTAAGATAAAAACGATCATATCAGTTGAAGTCGAAAATCCCCACGATAAATGTCACATAATTTTAAATAAGTTTAAAGACTGATTTCCGCTCCAGAGAACGAGAGAACGACAAACAACTAAACATTTAACGAATCGGAGGTAGATCACTTATGTGGTCGTAACCTCATCATTGCATTAGTCTTACATTGATGTATATTTGATGTTTGTTATACTGCTACTGGTGAAGATTATATGTTTATATAATATTGATATTATATTATTGACTGTAGAGGCAGATAATGTATTATTACTCTGTACTTGAGATCCAAATAAGGTCAGTTACACCAGGCTTTGAGAGTTGGCCAAGGACCGAGTTGGGAAATAGAGGTTCGAAGTATCGTTTGGTGTTTGCATGGGGCCGAACCCTCTGGGTCGCAATGACCCAGAGGGTTCGGCAAATGACGCACATGGAACCGGTTGTTTTCGCCAAAGAAGGTACAATGGAATGTACATTCCATTGTTCCTATTTTCCACTGTTCCTAATGTAATGGCACACCAACCACAGTTGCTGGGAATAAATAGGAAAGCAGGAGACCTCTGGATCCCAAAACACCATAACACATACACGCACACGCACAGGCACGCCAACATACACTCACATTCACTCATGGGCGGTCATCGAGGATATAAGGTCTAGAAAAGCGAGTGTTGGGGTTGATGTTTCGCCGTTGTTTCGAGGTGCTCGCTGTCGTTTGTATGCTGATGTCATGCAAATAAAGAAGTCCCGTCTGGCTCTAACTTTTCTCCACAAGTTCTGAGTTTTTCTTGACTTCCAGTGTTTTACTGAAGTCGAGCATTTCTCTTACATAATCAGCCATAAATAAGATGTAGCATTACACATTGTCATGCATCCAATGTTTTGCTCAAGTGCTTCAGTATTAACAGCAAAATAAACTTCAAGAGACTTTTTAGGATGGATGGAGGAGTAAGTTTGCAGATCAGCTCTGATATACATGTGTGTACTGTATGTACATATGTTTTAGTCATGGTAGTAAAGGTACATGATTTACTGTGGGTGAGGATTAATTCCTGCACATCAACCCAGCTTTGTGTTTGTGTACGAGTCAGAAAGAGGAACCAGCATAAAAACAGAAAATATTCAAACTCCAACGTGGATCTATGAACTCACAACTGCTGCCCTTCAACCCTGCGTTTCATTTACCTGAATGAGAGTGACGTAAGGTTATTTAATCTTAAAGGAGGTAAATGTTTTTGTACTGTCACGTACTTTAATTAGCTTTATTTGACAGGCAGCGGCTAGTACTGACAGCTAACACGCCCCTGCCTCTCACTACACGAGATTACACTTTAAATGAGAGCGAACGTGGCCGTGGTGATGAATTCACAGTTGGTGAATATCAAGCGAGATAAGTGGAAAATGGCTTTATTAATCCAGAGAATAGACGGAGCCCCCGGCGGCAAAGCATCTAGCCAGCAGCGTTAGCTAGCACTGGAGGCTAATGTGGCTAGCTGCAGCATCTTTGTCGCCATGTTTATCCGGTTTGTTTCTACATGTCAGGACTCGACACTTACTCTGCGAACCGTCGTCAAAACGGTCAAACTCCCAGTCAGGTGCGATGGTTTCCACCGCCATTCTGCCCGGAGAGGAGACCTGAGACCCCGCTGCTACTCTGAGGACATACACGGTCCCATGACGGGTCTCATGATTCTGTGGATGGTCGCGAGGGTTCATGGGAAATGGAGTCCGCGGAAGTTCATCGCTCGATCTATCTATTCTACTGCTACTAGTAATAAAAAACAACTATAATATAATAATAATAACAACAACAACAGATAACATTTAATAAAAAAGGTGAAAGTGAAATGTTAATGATGTATGTTTAATTTAAATTCAAATTTAAAAGCAAAATTCATGTAAAGATTTCCTTCCAAATAATAATTATAATAATAACACATAGACTACATTACAAAGTAATTCGTTTTTTGATTTTGTAATATAAAGAGATATTATACAAAGGATCTATAAATATAGTAACCCATCGATAAATATTCAAATTTAACGAGGGATTTTGAAACACCAGTATTCAATTGCCAGTAAGTGCATCATTTAAAATAGTGCACTATATTCTAACGAGATCATCCTTGAGTCCGAGTTCAACAACCCAAATCAAATCATTTCATCTTTGAGTCCAAGTGAAAATTTATACCGCATTGAAAAAGGAGAAGGAGATGTTTCTGAGATATCACGCTCAATAGGGAAGAAATGTGGCTTGTGAGGTCACAGCGACCTCGAGCTTTGACCACCAAAATCTAACCAGTTCATCCATGAGTCCTAATGTGCGAAGAGACACTTTGGTACCAACTCCTTATTGTATCCTACATCCTACATCTATGCATATGTGGTGCCAGGTGTTTGCCAACCAGAGAGCTTGTTACATCCCTATTTATATATATATATATACATATATATATGTATATTGTAAACTAGTTTAGTTTAGGCCGTCACACAATGATATAGTCAGAGCGAGAACTAAACTGTGTGTTTACTGCTGTCTGTCATATACAGGTTATACACAAGCTGTGCAAGCACGAGACGTGATACACGAGGTGAGAGTGTGAGTTATGTGTGTGTGTGTGTGTGTGTGTGTGTGTGTGTGTGTGTAGGGTTTGGGTAATGCCACAGTGAAGACTCAGAACACCATTCAGAGGACGGCAGAGGCCACGAGGAAGAGTCTGTGTCATCAGCAGTGGACTGTGAGAACAGATGCCTCTTCTCCTCCCATGGTCTCACATTAAGGGTAAGGCACTTATTTACTCTTTACTCTTAAGCACAGACCAAATTAAAGTTTAAGTTAAAAAGACGAATTGTTTTTACTTTAAGTGCTATATCTGTGTTTGCAAAGATGCTGGGAAGACAGAGACGCTCTCAGAGATGTTGCAAATTAATTTGATACAAGAATTAAAACTATCTCAAGTTTGTGCCTAATCGTGGAAATTCTCTTATTGGACCGTGTCTACTTGACGTCAATGATGTTCCCTGATTCTCTTTCACGCACTTTTTAAACATTTAACAGCGCTGACTTACTCAAAGACATCCCTGCAGGACTCCATACAGACAACATTAAACACCTTGAATAACCCCGTACGTTGTTGCCTCACATGTTGCTGGCTAGCTGTTGCATGGATTATCATCAATATTTTAATATTATTTTACATATTTGTTTAACATTACGCATACATATATATATATAAACCCTAGTTAAAGCTTTTTAAACATATGAGGCTTTTTTAATACATTTTGTTGTTGTTTTTTTTGCTGATTACGTCTACAAGTTAAGATTCTTCTCCTCTTTATTAAGATAAGATTCCTCCTTATTGTCCCACACACAGCATGCAAACATGGGGAAATTTGACCTCTGTATTTAACCCATCTGTGTGAACACATGGAACACAATCCACACAGTGACCACACAGAATAGTGCCCAAGAGGTGAAATGGCGCCTCTCCAACTTCCGTCCATGCTGGACTTTAACTGGCCACTCTCTGGTTCCCAAGCCAAGTCTCTATGGACTGAGCTACTGCCTCCCAACATATGGTATCATCTCTTAGGAATTTTCGAAGGAGTGTATTGTCTCCGTCAGACAACATTGCCTCAGTGTTGCTGAGGCAGGCATGAAGAATGATAATCATGGCAATTCCCACCATCAGATGACCCTGACACAGCCTCATATAGCAGTTACTCTTTCTACATGCCAGACTCACAAACCTGATTTTGCCATGAATAAAGTTAGTAAAATCTTTTGTCTTACAGATTCTTACTCCAGCAGCTTTTAGTGTTCATGCATCCTCCAACTGTTAATTGTTGTGCTTGCTTTATTTCTGCGTACGTTTTTTTGCTCCTTTGTTGGTTGTTTTGTTTTTTTGCAGCATCATGCAAAAACTATGCAACTGATTTTCTATGCAATGTTGTGGAGGAGAGAGCCAATTATATTTTGGCACTGATACAGATCAGGGGGATCCAGGACTCTTTTTCATTTCCTTGAACATTGCAAAATACTTTTTTGATATTATCTTTGATTTCTCTGAGAAAAAGTCATAGATCTTCATGAAAGAAATCAGTTTTAGGGTATTTATGTGGCAATTTGGTGCAGATCCAAATAAAATATGGATCAACTGAATTCAAAAGTTGTTTCATCAGAGGACTGTTGTGGGCATATGAACTCTACTTAGTGCAGTTCTAGTTTATTCTGCCTTTGCCATTAAAATTAAACTTATATCCTGTTTTAGAAAACTGTCTGACCAGTGAAAGGCTTTCTCAGGAGCCAGAGCAACGGGAGTAACATCCCGCCAAAGACCTCACTTCACACCATGGTTGTCTCAGAGTCACAGGACGATCAACCCATCAGCATCTCTGTCAGAAGAAACCCTAGTCAACAGTCCAGATCAAATCCCTCCTCATCCCAACACTCTGGAGGTCCACAACTGTTCAGCTCCAATGAGAACATTTCACCGGTCGACACCAATCTGCAATACGAGCCTCGGGAGTACACTGAGACAGACTACCTGCTCCCCGTTAAACTCTACGGAAGGTCAAGGGTCAGTGAATCCACAACAGCAAAGGATGCAGTCGTCACGAGTGCACCTGCGGAGTCCGCGTGTTCCTTGGTGCTGCAGATCCTGGTGCCATTTCTCTTGGCCGGGCTCGGGACAGTCTCAGCCGGGATTTTGCTGGACTTGGTTCAGGTGAGGACACAGAAATCATTTAGTGAGGTCATTAATTAGTTTACAATGCCTGGTTGCTCAATAAAACAGTTACTGTCTCACTGTAACTGAGGAAACAGTTACTGAGGACAGATAGAGGAGAAGGAAACTAATTTCAATTTAAAAGTCGGTCTATTTATTCTGGGTGGGCGGGTGTTTGTGGTGTCGGTGTAAACTGAAGCTCATTGATCTATGAACTGTTACGTGTTTTGCCAGAACTGGGACGTGTTCCAAGAAGTCCCAGAGATCTTCATCCTGGTCCCTGCTGTCTTAGGCATGAAGGGGAACCTAGAAATGACTCTGGCCTCGAGACTTTCCACTGCTGTGAGAGCGTGCGCACGCACACACACACACACACACACNACACACACACACACACACACGAGCAGTACATCACATTCAGTGTAAGAGAACAGAGAACATAATAAAACATACTGTATAGCTTAAAATTCCCTCTGCAGTAGAATGTAAAAAAAATAAACAAGGACAAAGTTGAAGAAAACTAAATCTGATTGACAAAGAAACAACAACTCTCAGGATTGTAGTTTGCTCTTTTGCATCATGGGTGTGAAACTCCTCACAGGCCTGTGAAGTCCACAGCAGCAAATCAACTTACTAATAATAGTCCAGCCACTCAGATAGCCTGGAATGATGTTTTACTTGAAAAAGAAATAATATAACCATGTAATATTTTCATAAAGAGCCTTCATTAACTATCCAAAGACTGATTTTTCTTCTCCACTGTTTGTCTAAAAACTACTAAAACTCACAGTTGTTCTGGGAAACACTGACACTGTGGTTTATTCTGAGGCCAAAGTTTGGGTGCTGTTAATATACTGAGGGAATAAAGTGTGTTTTAATCCACAACTGAAAATAGTCACCACCTTTTACTTGTGTTTCAGTTGGATTTGCTAAATACTACAATGCACAACTGTTAAATTTTATTGAAAATCAGACATTTATTTATTCAGTTTGTGGCCAAAAGCGATCTTATTTTTTCATTTACAAAGCTGTAGTTTCCCCTTTTCATTCACTCTTATAGTTGTTTTTAAAAATGTTTATCTGCAAAGATGATACATACGATAAAACAATATATACACTAACAAAACAAATTATTATGATCTATTATATGTTGAGGGTCCATTTTATTTTGTCCTTGGACATATCATTTGACACAACGCTGACCTGATAATCCAAATAACAGCTGCTCTGGACAATTCAATCGATGATCTACACAAATATAGTTCTACTGTATTTTGATCTGATGTTGTCAGGTAAATGCAGGGAAAATGGAATCTGCCAGAGAAAAGTGGATGATGATCATTGGGAACCTGGCACTCAAGCAGGTACATTATTATTCATCATTTGTCTTATATAATCATTTGTGAATTATCTTAATTCTAATCAACCATCTTTGAATCCATGTTTATTTATCTGTCAAATGTATTTATTATTTACTTTTCATCTTTTCTTCTTTCACAGCTGCAGGCCACAGTGCTGGGTCTGCTGGCCTCTGTGATGGCGACTCTCCTGGGCTGGATGGCAGAAGGAAAGATGCCCTTCAATCATGTTGTGCTTTTGTGTTCAACCAGTGTTTCTACTGCCTTCGTGGCTTCAATGCTGCAAGGTAACAACAACAACAACAACTGTCCCACTGTCCCAATGAGCGAAGTAACAGACGATGCATGGTCTGTGCCTTCGTGGTGTTGGAGATAAAAGGCAGCCTGCAGTTTCCGATAACTGCAGTTTCTGATGCCCTCAGTACACAGACACATAATATAAGTACATAAGCTTGCAAAGAACAGAAAGCAGAATTTTCTACAACAGTGGATGTAAAATGTGTCTTCAAATCACATTGTTTTCTGTTTACAAGTAAAAAAATCTACCTCAATAAAGACATGAGATACAGTCTTATTTCCATTGTTGAAATTGATGATAAGTAGAGTGAAGAATGAACTCCCTCAGTGCTTCAGAATCACGTCGTACATGGAGAACTTTACCCTTTCTTTAACCCTGCCCAGGCATCATCATGGTGGGAGTGATCCTCGGCTCCATGCGAGTGGGCATCAACCCTGACAACGTGGCGACACCCATGGCCGCCAGCTTTGGGGATCTCATCACTCTTGCCTTGCTGGCCTGCTGCAGTCAGTGGTTCTACTCTTTATCAGGTAAAGGAGGATGAAGATAAGATAAGAGAACAGACAATAAGATAAGACATATATGTAAATAATTCACAAATTTCTCAAATGAAAATAATGATATATAATGAACAAAAAACTAGAATGACACTTGCATACTTCCACCAAGTGTTGTAGAAAAACTTTGTGTGCTTATATGCTTTTACTATGCATCTGTGTATGAAGAGATTGTGATCACTTCACCTTTGTGTGCCTACACTGGTCATGAGTGTATGAGGAGCATGTGCGGCCCATACTAAGGGAGAAACAGAGGACCACCATACAGGTCCAGCCCAGGCAGAATCGAATTTCTCGTTTCGACAAGACAGCATCGTAAATTAAGGGCCTTTGAAATTGAGTAAGGCCTGAAACAGGGGCCTAAAAAAGCTCCAAAAGATTTACAATGGTGTAAAAAATTTAACTGACAATCACTGCTCTATACAACATAAAAATTGACCCATGATGTAACTTTAAACCAGAAAGGAGGTTGAGAATCCCACCTCCTGATTGGCTGTATGGACAACCGCAAGGATGGGCATACAAGCAGAGGGTTTTGAAGCTCAGTGACTTCAGTTTGGTTCTGGAGCCTGCTCGGGTTCACATCTTTTAAAAAGAATAAACTCTAACGCATTGAACTCTGATCATTTCCAGTGTAATGTAATGGTTTCTTCTCTGACCCATACTCCATCCTTCACTAAGTAACGTGGTAATCTGTCCAGTGCTTTCTGCATCATGTGGTTAACAAACAGACAAACCAACAAATAGACAGACGGGGGTGAAAACATATCCTCCTTGTTTGAGGTAATAAGTAAAGATACAATATAAACACAAGGAGATATAAAAGATATAACGTATTGTTATGTAACTTACGTTACCTTCTCTTCAGAACCTTTGGTTTGAAACGAAAAGGCTCAGCAGGGACAGTTTGATTCTGTAACGCACACTCAGGATCAATGACAATTAGAACACACTGGTGGTCTTTCTCTGAGCCAGATCCCAAGCAGTTCCCACTTTTGGCCAGTAGATGACACCTGCTGCAGTTGTTTCCCAAACATCATAGAGCCATTATGTTTTAGTGAGCTTTAGTAATGAAAGGGTAAATAACAACTCTTTGTCTGGACAGAGCTGCAGCCCTACGTGCTGTACCTGGTGGATCTGTTGATTTTGTGCCTGATCCCTCTGTGGGTGGTGATCTCCTCCAAACACCCAGCCAGTAACATCCTGCTCCGCACAGGCTGGGAACCAATCATTACTGCAATGGTCATCAGCAGGTACTTACCGCAACCTTCTGCGAGACTCAATCCACAGCTTGCACATGTATTCACATTATTAACCAGTAATACTTTTATAAATACATTAAATTGTGAGTCTGAATAGTTTTCCTTGGCATCAAAAGGTCCAAGCCTTAAGGTTTATGATAAAAACCATCATAAACCCTCCGATCACTGTCATCTACATATCCACGTACAGAGCTACACTACACGTGTATAATAAACGGACATTTAAACTGACATCAGGGTTTAAGTTAAGACTTGAAAAGAAATCCTGATTTGATAAGAAAAGTACAAATATGACATTAAAAGGAAACAAAATTAGTCCAAAGGCAGCAAACATGAGTCAGACTTTTAAAAACAATGCTGATTAGTGTTTTATTAAAAAGTTCTCAGGTAAATAAACATCAATTTGTACAATTTAGATGAAACACACTAGTGAGAACAATGCTAGGATTATGTTGTATTCATTTCTGCCAATAGATCCCTTTTATTAAATTACACACTGGACCTTTAACTTAAAATCATCATATGTTCTCTGAACATTCCTTCTCCACTAATCAGACACGAGAGACAACTTCTTAGTTCTTAGAGACATATGAGCTATTCAGATGTGCAGTGTCCTGAACAGATAATGGTTCTCACAGGAAACAGTTATCAGTCTTTATATTGTATCTGAATAAAATCATGTTTTTAAGAATGTGTTATGGGTGGAGAAATGTATAAAGCAGAAAACAGGATAGTTCAATGTACTGAACATAAAGAGCTTCTAAAAACTTTATGTTTTTCTTCTCTTAGTATTGGAGGACTTATTCTGGACATGTCTGTGTCAGATCCAAACTTGGCAGGAATTATAATTTATGCTCCAGTCATAAATGGTGAGTTGTCTTCTGAAACTGTGTATTTAATGGGCTGCTTTGTGTGTGTGTGTGTGTGTGTGTGTGTGTGTGTGTGTGTGTGTGTGAAGATACAGGTCTAAAATCATTTGATCAATCTCAGGTGCGGAATGTGTGATGTCACATGAGTCAATTTCAGGGTTTGAATCTGAAGAAAAATTCTGAAAAACCTCAGCTCCTTATTTCTGCAAGTGAAGGCCTCAGGCTACTGTGAGAAATGTATGTACTTGTTTACCCTGCAGTGACACATACATTATCCAATTCTTCTTAATAGCTATTCAGACTCTAAAATCCGATCTAACAAAGTGCCTCCTTTGAGAAATGCGCTTATTTATTACCAAGACACGTCAGCTACTGAGAAATGGGCATACAATAACTCTCAGGGAACAGTGACATATTGGAAAGTTCCCAAAGAAATGATAAGATAACAGTTCTGATAATGATGGGAGTGTACTTACATCTATTTTCACAGAGGGATGAGCGAGTAATGATATGAAAATGAATGAACTGCTGACACAGCTCAGTCTGCTCCCTGGGGTGCAGCTCTGTCCTACTGTATACAACATGTCAGTGGACTATACGACAGCAGAGTGTAAACAATAGCTTTGGAGCAAATTATTTTCAAGCCATCATTTTGAAAATTTCAGCTCAAATCTGCGCGACAATGCGGCCAAAAGCAAACTTGTGGGCAAATCTCTTAAAAGTAGGTATTGTAAAGTCAATACTGAAAAGACTGCAAAAGGAGTGCAGGTCTGCAAAGTTTAAAAATAAAGACAGAAAACTCAAATACAAATCAATGTTTACAGGGATTAGATTTTTTTTTATAAAACTCAGTTTTAATTGTTGGAGATTAAAAGTCCAACACTGGGCCAGGTTCTAAATCTAGACTTCTAACACGTAACTTTCACAATTACTAGTATCACTATAGTGTTTAAAATAATTAACTGCAGATGATCAAAGTTCAATACAGTAGAGTATATTCAAGCTTTCCTTTGAAAGCCTTTTTTCAGCTTCAAGGATATGACATGATATTGATCCTATACTGCTATACCTGTAGATTTACAGTTAATCTCATATATTTAAATATTACATTGAACCCAAAAGATTGTATTTGTTTGTTTTTGATCAGTAATTTTGAAGTTAACCCCCCAATATAAAATACATTCCACTACAGCACAAGACATGAAAATCGCTGCCTTAAAACTCAAAAACTGCATGAAAGGTCGGGACCCAATGCTCTCGAGCTCCTCCACAGGAAATGTCTTTTTATGTGAATTAGCTCGGAGGTGAGATTGAGTCTCGGACACCTTGCATCTGATTTCAAAGGAGCTCGTCACATTTAAATATTTTACGATTTTGAACATTCTGCCTTCTTTGTTGTCGAACAGTAGGTTGAGTCAATTGTCACTGGTGACCCTGCCCCTGCCATTTCTTTTCTTATCAGGAATTGGAGGAAACCTCGTCTCCATACAGTCGAGTCGGTTGTCTACCAATCTGCATTTGAATTTCCCACCTGGAGATCTTCCAGAGGAGCGAAGGGGCTGCTACAACCCTTGTCGCACCTTCTTTGGTTCAGGTGACTATTGTTGTATATTTGGCTAGTGATGATGTGAAGATGATGAAGGAATCTCCGCTGACACAGTCTTGATTAAAGGTTTATTACAAAAAGTTCAGCATCAATATAAGCACTGCAGTCTGCCTGGAAAGAGATCCGGGGCCAGTGTGAATCTCCTCTCCCTAACAGCTTCAACACCCTGTTTATATAAATGAGTTGTCGTCGTAAACCTAAAGAAAACACATCTGGCTCCCCTCCAGCCCAGCTCATCTGTCTGGTAACAGGCAGGGAAAGGTGCCGGCTCAAATTTAGAGTAATGGTTAGAGCCTTGCCCCAATGCCCTAACGTATACGTTCAGTTTTCCTCTGAAAGCCTAAACTAATGGGCCTCCAAATCTGCAGGGGCTTCAGACCCATAGATCAACTTCCTTCAAAGAGAACACAACACTTGGCCTTTCAGACACCACACTGTCAAATGGTCAAATTTTTAAAAGATATTAAATTGCCCCTTCACTATACACACATACTAAAATGAAAAAGAAATTCGAGATAGATAGATATAGATAAATAGGTGGATAGAATTTTTAGTTTTCATTTTTGGAATGTGAAATCTGACATTGAGCTTTGACGTGGCAGGAGCTAACCATCGCTCTGCCCGGATCCTGCTTCTTCTGGTCATCCCTGGTCAGTTTATCTTCTTATACACCATCCACCTGATGAAAGGAGGCTACACGCTACCCAGTCCTCTCCTGACTGTCGCCTTCTTGTCTGCTTCCCTGATTCAGGTGAGTCAGACGCAGGGTTCAATTTCCCTCCGCAGACTGTTCTACAATAAATCTCATACTTCTTGCCTCGTAGGTCTTCTCTCTGCTGTGTACAGCCGACTGTATGGTCCACTGGCTATGGCGGAGGCATAAAGACCCCGACAGTTACTCGATACCCTACCTCACAGCCCTGGGAGACCTTCTCGGGACCTCACTCCTTGCTCTTGCCTTCCTCATGCTGTGGTGCATCGGTGACTCAGGGAGTGTATGAGTTCAAAGCAAGAGGAAGAACAAATACAACGAAAGATCACAAGGGGTGCTAAGATGATAAAAAAACACAAGGACAGGATCAAAGATGATCATATATTTCTTATTTTTTATGTCTCATCATGTTTGTGCTAATCATATTATTGCTGCTTCATGGTTTCTACCATTTCCCCTCCTGACAATATCAAAGACACACCTACTGCTTTTGTCTTTGCAGGATAACTTACTTTCCTGGCGTTTAGGAAGTTTATCAAAACACTCATCTCAGATTCTACCACAGCTGGTGCAAGCGAACGCAAACGCCAAAAACTACAGGATGAGGAACTTCCCGAGAAAAAACCCATGAACTTTTGGAGCTGTTTCAATTTATGGGACAGTTCAGGATTTGTTTTAAATATTGCAACATTTTTGTGAATTTCTCAAGAAAAAAATGTAAAGATCTTGATGTAAAATGTCAGTCATTCTTGGAGGACTTGTGTGCATTTTGGTGCAACTTGAATTTGAAGGGTCTGTTGGGCCTTGTCGGAGGCATGTGCTCTACTGAGTCCAAGCAGGAAAGTCACAAGGGGGCTAGAAACACAGATGCACAACTACACAACTCAAGGCTCAAACTGTTAAATGCACACTTAAGGTCTTTGCACACCAAGTCTGTCTTTTGTCTTTAAAGATTTTGGAACAGTTTTGATTTGCTGCGTTTTTCGCATCTTTCAAAGGCTCAGAGAGATTTGTTTTCTTCTATTTTCTAATGTTCAGTATCAGTGCTGGTAGAGCATCGAACTGGATCTGACATCCTGAGATAGACTTGGAAACAATCAGGATAAATTCGCAGCTCATTGATCAGAGGATGAAATTCTCTTAGTTCCTATCACCCTCTCAGGATTAGATGGACCAACCATTTTCTTTTTTCAAGAAGCCAGAGGACCTCGAAATCATCCTCACTGCTCACCACCATTTTAACTATGCGAAATCACGAGACTTCAGCTGTAAAAGTTAAATAACACAACCTTGGACAATAACAGGATGTTCTCTTCAACTCTGGATAAACTTGACTCTGACAGTTCTCCTGGGGACCAATCGCACAGTTTCCTGTTTACCCGACTGTATAAAAGCCTTCTTCTTTCAATATTCGAGGTTCAACTCTGAGCGTTCATGCTGAGTTTTAAACCCTCTGCAGAGTTCACCATTAAAGACCAAAAGACAACTCTTGTCTACGGAAATTTTTAATTTCACATCCCGAGATAAATTTCCACCACAAAGAATCCAAAAGATCTTCCATTATAAGAGCCTGAGGGAGAGTGAGCTTGTGTGTGTCTCGGATGGCTCAACCATCACTTCAACAACATCTCGCATCACATTTCAGGCAGCTGGACCTCTCATCAGTGGGCCTGCGTAGAAATACACTGGATGTGTGCTCCATAGGACCAAAAGTCAATACTGACTGAGTATCCTTTAGTACTCATCCTATTAGTAGGAAGGAAGGGTTGTTTCTGATACACTTTTTGTCTTATTTGTTGAAATCGCAATAATCATCTCACTTGGACCAAATGATTCACCGGCCTGCATGTTGTTAGTAAATAAACTGATTAAATACATCATTAAAAAACTAGTGATCTAAAGCCAAAGACAGTGAGACACAGTTAGATTTGGACGAATCAGAAACTTTATAACAAATAAGGAGGTGGGGAAAGACACTTATTGATCAAGATGATGAACATATATACCAAGTTTGGTCTCATATTTTCAGTCAGGTTCCAGAGCCTGCTCCGGTCGATTTGCTTGTAAAAGGATAAACTCTACTGCATTCAACTCTGATCATCTCCAGTGATTTATTCGGACTGAAGAGTGAAGACTCCAGTGGAGATAAAATATGAATGTTGAATAAGAAGTCTGGACTCATTATCTGGCCCAGTATTGGACTTTTTATTTACCAACAATACCACAGTGTGAATGTTTAACATCAATTAAGTGCACTTCTAACACAGTGTAGAATGTCTAACAAAGGTTTTCTACAACATCCCATTATGCTTTGCAGTGTTGTATATTTGGGTAGCGATGATGTGAAGATAATGAAGGAATCTCCGTTGACACAGTCTTGATTGTATAAAAGTTTTATTACAAAAAGTTCAGCATCAATACAAGCACTGCAGTCTGCCTGGAGAGAGATCCGGGGCCAATGTGAATCTCTTCTACCTAACAGCTTCAACTCTCCGTTTATATAGGAGAGTTGTCGTCGTAAACCTAAAGAAACATATCTGGTTCCCCTACAAGGACACCTTCTCTGTCTAGAAACAGAGAAGAAGGCGCCGGCCCAAATTCAGAGTGATGGTTAGAGCCTTGACCTAATGCCCTAATGCGTACACTCAGTTTTTCTCTGAAAACCTAAACATATGGACCTCCAAATCCTCAAGACCTATGGGCTTCAGACCCATAGATCAACTTCCTTCAGACAGAACACAACACATGGCATTTCAGACACATTTAAACAAACTGTATCTTGGCAATGATCAAAGTTACGACACTTAAAATAACACAAAGGCCTTCACTACACACATCACACTTTAAAAGGTGGACACACTAAATGAGAACCTCCAAATCCAAAACCTCCAACCCCCAGGTCCAGATTTTGTCATTTTTGTTGGGAATACTGGAGGATTTGGAAGACCGAGAAGCCTCTGTCCGGTGGATGGAAATCGCCTGAGTTGGATGGTAAAAATGTTTAAAAGAATACATCCACATTTTTATTATTATTCAGTCCAAGAGTAAAAGCCTTGCTGCGGCAGCAAAGGAAAGTGAGGGGGCCCAGTGTGGGTAAGGACATCTAGAGCTCAAAAAGAAGAGTGCACATATGTTCTGTTACTGAGAGCTGGAACTAACTAGTTCTCTGACTGCGGTTCCCCTAACGGAAGTAGCCCTCAGTAGAGGGGTTTCCGGTTTTAGCGGAGAACAGTATAAAAACATCTGTTTCAACAGACTCTGGCAGGCTGCCACAGACTCCAACGGATGAGTTATTTGATGTTCTTTCCCACAGCTCTCGAAGCTAGAGATGCCTAACTCTTAGCTCCGGCACAAGAGACTGACTTGCTCGTGGGTTGCTGCCTAACACAAAGCGAACTAGCAGTGGATGCTAACCACTCAACAGCTTTACAGATGGACCTTTGACTCAGCGGCTACGCCCTCCAATAAACCATTGGCACAGTAGGCTAGTAAGTCCAATTAACCTTTGGAAAAGAAGCCCTCAGCTCGAGGACATTGGCTTCTTATACCGAAGGAGGCTAGATGGCTACTCGCTTTTAAAGGTGTTGTTTACCGAGTGTTTTCCCTAACAGCTCCAACTCCCCTTTTATATAGAGCGAGTTGTTGTTGTAAAACCTAATGAAACACATATGGGCCTTGACCTATTGACATGATATGGACCTCAGACCCACCCATCAACTTCAACCTCAGAGAGAAACACAACACATGGCACTCCAGACACCACAGTGTCAAATCACAAGCTGGTTAAGCAATTGAGCGTGAGGCATATTGACAGGTAAAACCTTCGATTTATTAACACCCCCCCTTTTATTTTTTAGTGTTTTATTCTTAGATTTTCTTTTTAAAATAGGAAAACCCTGTAATCAGTGTAATACGTTTCTTTTAATAAAAAATGTTGTTTAATAGAACTAGAGTTTTTCTATGGCAACGCACCAAGCACCAACACATATTCTTCTTCAAGAAAAAGACACCACTATGCCCCCGAAGGTAAGCTCCAGCATCTCCACACCACAGCAACATTACTGAAAACCTTAGGGCACACACACACACCTCATCTCAGGGTAGGGAAGTGCTGCAGGGACCTCTCCCCGGATCGAATGGCCCGGTATAGGCTTTTTACATAGCTGTTAAGGGGCTTTTATACAGTCTTCATCTAGTCGGAGACTCCCAGGGACAGGCTGTGAGTCTTTTGGCCGCCCACCCCGGAAACAGACCTGTGAAGTGGTGTCACAGGGGTCTTCGTGGGGGGTCTGGGTCGACTCACAGAAGTAGAGATTATTAAGAGGGCTGTCTCTGCCCCTCTCCACCTTCTGTGTCTAGACACTATATGCCTTGGTGCTCATATGTCGCCTCAGGTCGAGGACAAGACCAGTGAGCGACGGACGCATAGGGCTCCGCGGTAGCGACCGGACAGGACAGAAAAATTAGCCGACTGAGAGGTTCTTCTCTCCTCTCTTCCGCGAGGGCTGCCGGCCTGCTGACATAGACAAAAAAGTCTGTAAATGCTACAGACGGCAAATCAATGAACATACCGTCGCTGGTGGAAAAGTCTCAGCAGAAAATAATGTTAGACCAGATGTAGTCGTGAACAGAAACTGCACATGCCTACAGACAAACACATAGAAACACACATTTGGCTGTCAAGGTCAGGAAGAGCTCTTCCCTCTCATGCGTTAAACAAAACCATATAAGGAGTTGTTCGTTTGTCAGATAGAGTTGGAGACACGAGGATCAAGTACAGATTGTGCTGCATCACCAAAGGAGGGACGGCTAGTGCTCATTCATTGTTTCAAGTGCCAAACGCCAGGACTGAGCCTGTGCACCAACAAGGGAGAGCTGAGTCTAAACCATGGCTATTCCCCACCCATATTGACCAATCACATTCATTCACATTTTACAAAAACTGTTGGATTCCAACTGTACGGAGTGACTCTTCACGACTCTGCGTGGCCCAGATCGTGTTTGGGTGCCCATAGCTATGAAATGCCTTTTCATTGTCTGATAATAAATGCTCATTGATTGCACACGGATTGACTCTTCTCATATCTCAGGATAAACGAACTCGACAATGACAAGATTCAATTAGGGAAACACGAACCACAGACAGACGACAAACTGACAAAGGGAAGCACAGAGACTTATATACACAAGGGAGGCGGGTGGATTGAAAACAGGTGAACCTAATTAAAAACAGGTGCTGACGCTCACAAGGGCGGGAAACAGGACAAAGGCAGGAAATAAAGCTAAGGACGCACAAGGAACATAATTTCAAAATAAAAGAGAGCACTCAGGGAAACCACTGAACACAAACCTAAACAAGGAAACCCAAGTAGAAATCAATAAACCACAGAGTCAATGAAACAGAAACTAAATATTCTCTCAGTCTTGGGGTCAGGGCAGAATCACGACACTCTCCTGACTTCTTCGTCAGTGTGTGGTGGAAATTTATCTTGAGATGTAAAATAAAGAGTTTCTAAGACCGAAGTTGTCTTTGGGTCATTTAATAGAAAACTCTGCAGAAGGTTACACAGTTAGCACAAATGCTTGGAGTGGAGCAACCCCTAATAGGGAAAGAAAAAGGTTTTTATACAGTTCGGTAAACAGTCTGCTCTTGCTTCTGCATGAAAGAGGAAGTTTGCTACTGCACAGGTTAGGGTCAACAAGAGGATCATCAACAAGTGGACATTAACTCTGAAGTTAGATCTGCCAAGTGCATAGCAACACTCAGGGCATTTGTTAGTTAAAGACAAAAAAGAAAAAGGTGTCTGTCTAGTTTCCAATCGTTCGTCTGCATTTACCCCAGACAGTTCCTCTTGTGCGAGCACAATTGTGTTTCTATATGACTTATTGTTGAACACAGCACACGAACATCGATCAGACATATGAAAAAATTCAAGTAAAGTTCATATGTGAATTTTCCATTTCAAGTTTCTTTTTTCTTTTTCTTTTCCTTTATTCTGAGATTTGTTTTTTCTATTTTTGCGTCTTTTGCACGTTAGAAGTGTGATTAACCACTGTGAATACTGCAGGGGATGTCTTGCTGTGTTCTCACATCGGATTCTGCTGACTATCTGCGGACTTTATACAATGCCCACCCAAATGTTTACTCTACCCACCCATTGGTTAACTTTATTCTGTTCCATTTGAATCTGCCAATCGTGTTTATTTCATATGCCCTGACAGATTTTCCTGATTTCTGAATTGCTGGTTGGACACAGGGCTGGGTTAAAAAAAAAAGTGTTGTCTGATTAAAATTGATCTTTATTTGAATGATCCGATATTGATTCGATATATATTTGATACGACCACACTAAGGTACCTGGGGCGAAATTAATTTAGTAAAATATTATAATAATGGTTATTATTATTATTCATAATCATTATTATGATATAGATATATATTTTGCAATCCCAGGGACACATATTTCTTAGAGAATTGTCAAGCTTTAATGCTCAGAGCATGGCACACAAGGCAAAGGTTTTGCACACCGATGGGAAGCTGTTCTTTCTCTTTATAACTTTGGCTCGTTCCTCCCCCTCTAAGGTTAGAGTCTTTAGCCAAAGGTCAGGATCTTCTGATGACATCAAAGGGGGCAACAATGCCTTAGCTTAGGAAATCAGGCCAAGATTCATTCAGTCAGCAAAGGTTACATTGCATAAGATTCATTATGATCAATACATAGGGAAAATGAACATGATTTCATTGTGCATGATCAAAGTTACATTTCCCCTTCCAGCCACCGATATTATAAAGGTTTGCATTGATGCACAGAGGTGTAAGGTGGCAGGGTTGTGTTAAATTACCATTGACACATAGAAGGTGATAAGTATCTGCAAACCCTTTCAAGTTTGGTTAACTTACATATCAATGCCAGGAAGGAATTTAACACATTGAAAAATGCTTGGGAAGCCTTGAATTACAACTCATATTGACGTTTAAGCTATCTGCAACTATTCTTTTGAATAGTTACAAACAGGATTACAGATATCTGCAATTGTCATTTAGGATGTATGACAAGTTTAGAAAGTCTGATGTGATTTTTTATCAGTCTGTGTCACACTTCCTTTTACAGACGTCTGAAATAACCCACATGCAATGTATGAGAAAATACAGTTCAGTAAATCACTCAAACTAATATATAAACCACACACATATGAATTGTAATAAAGCAAACTCAGTGTCATGTTATTAAAGTCATTGGCTAAAACATTTCTTGCAGTAGAATGCAACGTTTGTAACCTCACTTTGCACCATGCACTGTATATGAAGTGCTCTGCAAATGTCAAGCACACAAACAATAAAAAGTGGCAGAATATTGTAGAACTGTTTGAGGAAGGCTCACTACATTCAAGGAGCTTTATTCCCCCCCCGAGGAACATCTGGAGGTGGGACGCTCACGTGCAACTCCACGGGTCATCTTCTCGTGTATGACGTCGCACATTTCGCGTGGGTGGACTGCAGAGCAGGAGAAAGGAGGGCTGAGGTGAAGAGGAGCGATGAGAGGAGAGGAGGACTGAAGAGAAGAGGACTGAGGGGGGAGGACTGAGAGGAAGGCTGAGGAGTGGAGGACAGACAGAGGAGAGGAGGACACAGGACTGCACAGTGGGACAGGACCTACTCTTTGTAGAACATGCAGAAAGTCTTGTCCGTCGCTCGGTGCTTTGAATCACATCGGATGTAAACATGGTGGAATAACCGTCAACACGAAGAGAGCCACTGTTCTCTGACTCCGGATAAAGGACGAGCTCGTCGAGACAAAAGTAAGTTAGCAACCGAAGAACCACGATCAAGTTTTCATGTTTGATTTGTCATGTGTTAACCTGGTGTTAACACAGGCTCCACAGCACAATGGAAGGTGCTGCACGAGAAGAAGCAGGTCAATTATTCAATTAACATAAAAGCAAGGTCGAAAAAAGTCCAATGCATCACAATGCTAAAACTATATACTGTCAAATGTGCAGTGCGACAAGGACGATGCTCCACATACACAGACTAATATGCAGACAGACTGTATTTACTTCTCCTTTCTGCATTGGCAACAGATTACATTGTTGGATGCTGTCACAGAGAATGCTGACTGACTTATAGATTTAAAGAAATTGGCCATGTTTTTAATTATAATCTAACTGCAAATTATTTTACCAATATTTCGATTTCATTTAAATCCTTGTCTCTTGTATTATTCAACAAACAAAAGCAATAAAACATTCTATAGTATGACCAACACAATATTAGATAGATTAAACTGTTCTATCTAAAACTGTTCTTTCCTTTATGTTGAAATAAGATGATTACCTCAATCATTGTAGTATATTGACTGATTTGTTTAACTCCCAGCCCTGTAAGCATGCAATAATTATCATGACAACATAAAAAAGCACAAAGTCATAATTGCAGATTGCAAAAATATATAAACAACAAATCCGTGGCTTCCCTACTCTGTATTTAGATAATTTAAAGTCCTCGTAAGTAACATGTGGATTGCACTTTTTAAATGCTGTCTGTGAACACTTACTAGACAGTGTTTAGATAAATTGATAAAAATATAAAAAACTGATCTCCAGTCAGTAACATATCAAACAAATGGAGGTGTTGAAAGAGCCCTTTGTGGCTTCTGAACGCTTTCAGCATGAAACCTCATTTCCTGCCAGACGGAAAAAACAAAAGCCTTTAGTTTTGCAGTTAGAGAGCAAGAGCCCTAGAGGGAGAGTGTAACAGAGTGTGTGTCAGTATGTCAGCCGCTCCTTCTGAGCTAGTAGTAAAATGAAAGTAAACAATGATTTCTCCTCTCGCTGTGAGTTTTTGGGCCTGCGTGCATTAGCTAGTATAATGTTTTACCTGATTTGGGCATACAGGGATGGATGATGATCTTGAAGATGTTGCAAATGTTGTAGAAAATTCTGTAGACATTTGAAGCTTATGTGCAGTATATTATTTGGTCACTATGTCACATAAGAATGTCACTATATACCTTTAATTTGCACTTTAATCTAATGTGTGTTGAAACATAATTTGCTAATGATAACAACAAGTTCAACACAATGATTACAACAATATACTCAAGGGAGTGTCACATTATACTCATACTCAAACAGTATGATGTGTATTTATAATTTATGTGAATAAATAATAATCTTTTTAAAAAAGGCAATCTGACAAAACTGAAACATAATGATGTCTTTTTAAAAAATGGAAACCCGACTGAGCAGATTATAATGGTGTCAAGAGTAGTCACAATATCTTTAAAAAAAACCCAGTAAACTGATTGAACAGAAGATAATGTTGTCAAGAATAATCAAAGCTGTTTAAAAGGAAAAGACACATGTTTGGACATGTCTGAGAACTTCAAGTTTGAAGTCCCAAAGGCTAGCCAAAGTAACCTATGGGCTTAGGCGACGATGAAATGATAGACCAATGAAATGTCTGACAGGTGTGGCCTCTAAGGGTTCATAAGAAGGGAGCACACCGTTGTTAGACAGAGATTTTCTCTGGTGCTGCTCAGGCTCACTACTGAATGCTCTCTGTTTTCTTGTTGACAATAAAACTCTGTTGCCTTTAAGTTGGCTGCTTTTCATTCAACTGAATTCTTTTTGGACCAAGACTGAAACTTAGATTTCACAACATATGCACTGATACTATGTGTCTGTGCAGAGGGCATCACCTCATATCAGAGTGCAGCTATGGTTGCAGCTGCGCACTCTCACATGACAGCACTATATATCAAGCATAAAAGTAGTATTATCAAGTCTAATGGTATTACTAATTAAAGGCTCAGTTCAAAGGCCTCAAATGACTAAGATTTACAATGGTGACAGAGTTGGAATAAAAACCAGTGATTTAAATGAGAAGTAGATCTACATACCATATGCTGGAAATAAGATCCAGGTTGAAAAAAAACGAACTTCTCCTTTAATGGCCAATTAAAAACCGGTGACTTAATGTACCATTAAAATGACAAAATGGGCAGGAAGGAGCATATAAGCAGAAGGTTTGATGCTCAGTCTTTAGTTGGGTTCCGGAGCAAGTTCGGGTTTATCTCTTTTAAAAGAATAAATGTTCCTGGAGTCTTCATTGAATTCTTTTTACCAACAACTGAAGACTCCAGTAGTGATAGTAGAGTATACATGTTGGAAAAGAAGTCTAGTCTTAGTATCTGGCCCAGTATGAGACTTTATTTTTCTCCAATATAACATGTTTGACCTGTTGGAACCTTTGGATGAGAAAGAGGAAGTGCAATTTGAGAAAGGGGAAGTGCAGTTATTTTTATTTTTTTATCGATAAAATTCTCCAATAATGCATGGAGGTACCTATGCATCCCGGCAACGTCAGTCCCCTCAGAGCGGATGTTTTTTTCGGCGGCTGGACTGACGGTCCCCAGGCTGCGGTCGCGTCTCAGATTGTGTGAGTGTATTAACAGAGAGCTCTATGAACTGGTGGTGACTCGACCAGAAAACGTCCCCTGTAATAACTGGTGTTCCCTCAGTGATGTTTAACCAACAGCAAGACTTTGTCACACGGTGCCTGGAAGTCATGATGATTCTTAAGGTGTGTATGTTACATGTTTTTTCTTTGAAATATTCTTTGGTATTTTTTAAACCACAGAATAAAATCAGACCGTAAATAAAAATGATGTGGACTCCGGTTCGAGAAAGTGAAGCCAGTACAGAAGCTCCTTAAAAGTTATGTCCTCCTCCTGGCTTCTTAGACTTCTTCATCTACAGGATTTTCTCTGTGTCAATAAACTATCAAATAATGCGAATGATGCGCGGAGGTACCTATGCACCCCGGCAACATCAGTCCCCTCAGAGCGGGTGTTTTCGGCGGCTGAACTGACGGTCACCAGGCTGCGGTCGCGTCTGACCACAGAGCATGTTAACATGCTTATCTATATCAACAAAAATCAGTGGACTGGTGCTGAAGTTGTATGTGACTTAGGCCTACTACACTGCTCAAAAAAATTAAAGGAACACTTTTTTATCAGGTTATGGCATGAATTCAATTGCACTTTTTTGATAATTATCTGGCCAGTTAAGTAGCAGAGGGGGTTGTTAATCAGTTTCAGCTGCATTGGTGTTGATGGAATTAACAACAGGTGCACTAGAGGGGCAACAATGAGACGACCCCCAAAATAGGAGTGGTTTTGCATGTGGAGGCCATTTCAAGTTTCTCCCTCTTGATCACTTRGACTGGTTTTCCATTAGTGTTGGCTTTAGCTAGAGTCATTATCTCTACTGGGAGCATGAGGCGATTTCTTAACCCTACAGAAGTTGCACAGATTGTCCAACTCCTCCAGGATGGCACATCCATGCATGCCGTTGCAAGGAGATTTGATGTGTCTCCCAGCATAATCTCCAGAACATGGAGGAGATTCCAGGAGACAGGCAGTTACTCTAGGATAGCTGGACAGGGCCGTAGAAGGTCCTCAACCCATCAGCAGGACCGATATCTGCTGCTTTGTGCAAGGAGGAACAGGTTGAGCACTGCCCGAGCGCTACAGAATGACCTCCAGCAGGCCACTGTTGTGAATGTCTCTGCCCAAACAGTCAGAAACAGAGTTCATGAGGGTGGCCTCAGGGCGCGACGTCCTGTAGTGTGCCCTGTGCTCACTGCCCAGCACCGTGGAGCTCGATTGGCATTTGCTATAGAACACCAGAATTGGCATGTCCGCCACTGGCGCCCTGTGCTTTCACAGATGAGAGCAGGTTCACCCTGAGCACCTGTGATAGATGTGAAAGGGTCTGGAGAAGCCAAGGAGGAACGCTATGCTGCCTGCAACATCGTTCAGCATGAACGGTTTGGTGGTGGGTCAGTGATGGTCTGGGGAGGCATATCCATGGAGGGACGCACAGACCTCTACAGGCTAGAGAACGGCAGTCTTACTGCCATTAGGTATCGGGATGAAATCCTTGAACCCATGGTCAGACCCTACGCTGGTGCAGTAGGTCCTGGGTTCCTCCTGATGCACGATAATGCCCGGCCTCATGTGGCAAGGGTATGCAGGCAGTACCTGGAGGATGAAGAAATTGATGCAATTGAATGGCCCTCACGATCACCTGACCTAAACCCGATAGAACACCTCTGGAACATTATGTTTCGGTCCATCAGATGCCGCCAGGTTGCTCCTCAGACTTTACAGGAGCTCACTGATGCCCTTAGACAGATCTGGGAGGACATCCCACAAGACACCATCCGTTGTCTCATTAGGAGCATGCCGCGACGTTGTCAAGCTAGCATACAAGCACGTTGGGGTCACACAAGATATTGAGAAGCATTTTGAGTTGCAGAAATTGAATTTTGGCAAAATGGACAAGCCTGCCACATCACTTTTTCACTATGATCTTCGGGGTGTCTATAAAATTGAGCCCTCTGTAGGCTGAAAAATTTTATTTCCATCAAAGATATGGCATCCTTTTGTTCCTAAGACATTAAACTGTCCATATCAGTATAAATATCCAACATAATTTGTTTTCACAATGAGATATGATGTGTTTTCAAAGTGTTCCTTTAATTTTTTTGAGCAGTGTAGTTATTTCTATGAGGCTTTGTTAAGTAGCCCATCTCTCTCTCACCCTCTTTTTAGACTCTGTGCCTTTTGGATAGTTTTTGAGTTACATTATGACTAAACCTGTCAGACCTAAGTATTATTATGTTTTTGGTTAAGTTATTGTTTAACATGATTCTTTTTATTATTATTATTTTGGAACAAACGCGGGTCAATTGTGTCTAAGAGCGCCAGCTCGCAGCTGCAGGCTCCTCTGCTTTAGAGCACCGCAGCGCACATCTTCAAGCTTAACCATTCAACGTCAGTTTTAACTGCCTCAAGAGTTGTTCTTCTCGTTATATGAGATAGTGTGTGTGGTTTTCCGGTGTGCCCATGCGTATGTGAACCCACCTCAGAGGAGGCCATCAGATGACATTTAGGTTTAAAACATGGTGTAAATGACGCTGTTTTCGAGTTGAATTTGAATGTTTGGGCTAACGGACACTTGGATGGAGGCATGTGAGGAAATTATTATTGTTTTATTACGTCTCTAGAAGAGCAGCGCCACCCAAGTGGTTGAGCTGCAGCAAGTGTTCCAGCACTAATATCTAAACCTCCCAGTTTTTTTCTCCCACTGCAGCAGCTGTCACATGTCACATGTACATATTGAGACTATAGGGCAATATTTTGAATATCCCTTGAATGTTTGAAGGTCCTCTGCACAATGTAGGTTACCAACTACCAGTAGATGTTAGAAAGTTGTTAGTGGTCACCAGCGGATGTTAGGGACATAATTTTACAGTTGTGCACCTTAGCGCCATCAAGTTTTTTGGGCTTACAGTAGGAGTAGTCTCCCACGGAATGGCAGGAAACTCCTCCTTTATCTGTGTTAGGTTTCTGATTTTAGTGATCTGCCACAGTTTTTGACAAATTTCTTGTTCAGTTTGCCAATGCTCTACACCATCCTCATCATAGTATGTTCTTTCTAGCCAGAAATGTGTTCTTATACCCTGCGTCTCTCTATCTCCTTGTGTTACAGGAGTAATAATTTCGTCTTCACTACTACTACCCTCCCTTTGTTCTTCCATTCACTTTTACTTTATCCAATTTTATGTCAAGTCTTCTATGAATCTCCACAGAGCTCCACTGAAAAACAGAAGGAACACTATTAAAGTTAAAATAGCCAAGATAATATGTCCTACTGTCGTCTGACTTTCTAGTTGTTGTAGGGTTTCAAGTTTTAACAACTGTTCTCTATTTACTAATTTTTGTATATTATTTTCTCTATTAGCACAGTGTTTTAGGTACTTTCCCTATCCACTATACTTTTTCTAAGTGTGTGAGGGTCACGGTGTCAACACCTGTTAGGTTTGCCAGGAGTGTTACCAATGCAACTGACCTTTATAGGTGATAAGAGTTTTGTGTGCGTAGTGTGTGAGGCTCCCAGTGTCAACACCTGTTGGGTTTCGTGTGAGCCGAAGCAGAGCAGCCAGTCGGCTTGCCAGGAGTGTTACCAAAGCAACTGACCTTTATGGCTAATGTGAGGTTTGTGTTATCACCATTAGGTTTCCACCTCACACTGCTAGAGACACTGTTCCATCTGTGAATGTGTGAGAATGAGGCTCACTTTGTTCGCACCGCTAGGTTTCCGTGAGCCAGAGCAGAATAGCCAGTCAGTTTGTCAGGAGTTCACCAAAGCAACTGACCCTTATAGGTGATGTGAGCTAGGGACATAGACAGAAACAGATACAGAGGCAGACTTGCAGTGGAAGACTCCTTTTATAGGGTGACCATATTTTCATTGGGGAAAACCAGGACACCTTGTCGGGGGGGTCATGTGGAGGATGCTGCTGCTTTAATAGTATTTTATTATT